AAGGAAAACATATTCAACTTACACTCTTAGCCAAAAGCCACACTGCATACTTACGAACCTCCACCACTGGCATCTCCATCTTGTATACAGCCGGAGAGATTAAACAACTGAAAACTCCAAAAAATAATTGGTCAGCGATGTTGGGGAGTACCCAGCAGGAGCAGTTGGCCATCGTAATAATGTAGTTATAGAGCCTATAATCAATAAAATAATGGATGAAGATTAGAGATTTCAATAAACATTTTAGCCTCTGATAGTGTTACAATTTGGATATGACTCAAATTCCTTGTTGAAGTAATTGAATAATTCTAATTGAAGTGTATATCAAGAAGAACTTAGTTTGGAATGCTATTGGAGTTCGAAGTTTTATTTTGGAAGCCCATTGGGTGTTTTAATTTGTTTTGGACTCGATTTTTTGGTATCATACTGCATCAACAACTCTACTAGGAGAGTTTGGACATCCCCTACACGTTCCATATAAATACTAGGCTATTCTATATAATTTTATGGTGTGAGAAAATAGATTACCAGAATTATAGGATCTATTGTAATTTTTCTCTCTTCTCCATTATTTTTGAGTCAATAAAATCTATTAATTCCTCTTGTATATTCTTGTCTTTATTTTTTTTTTGCTCGATCATATACTTCATTGTTATTTGCCATATAATTTCAATATCTCAATCCGGTGGTTTGTGAGAATTTGGTGGTTTGTTTCACAACAATTGGCATCAGAGCAATTCTGGTATCTTGGTTATTTTACAACAAGTGGTATTAGAGCCTCAGGTTCAGTAATTCCGCAAGAGTGCAATGTTTGATTTGTTCGAGATTTTTTATTCATGATGATTTCCATGAAGTATGACATTCCTCTTTTGGATCGGAGCACTAGATTTTCACTATACTAGGTTAAGATGCGTGCGGTACTCGTATAACTGGATTTGGATGATGCATTGCTGGGAATTGACAAGATACCCACAACTTTGACCATGGAGGAGAAATTACGGAAGGATAAGAAGATAGTTTTTCATATTTATCTTCATCTATCAAATACTATTATTTAGGACGATTTGAAAGAGAATTTAGCAGCCGCTTTAAGGTTGAGGTTGGAGCAATTGTGCATGACTAAAAGTCTGACAAATAAGTTGAACTTCAAGCAGCGTTTATACTGTCATCGAATGACAGAAGAAGGATCATTGAAAGATCACCTGACTGTATTTAAGGAGATCGTCGCTAATTTGGAAATTTTGGAAGTAGAGTATGATGAAGAAGATTTGGCCTAAATTCTATTGTGTTCTTTGCTCGCTTCGTTTTCTTCATTTAGAGACACGATCTTATACAATCGTGATACTCTTACCATGGAGAAAGTGTATGATACTTTGTATTCAAAAAAGAAGATGAAACATCTATTCTGAGGCCAGAGATGGAGAAGGTCTGGTTGCTTATGTTGATTCTGGAAGGGGCGATTGAAATCTAAGTTCAGTAATCAAATTTGTAACTACTGTAAGAAGAATGGGCACTTAAAGAANAACTACTGTAAGAAGAATGGGAACTTAAAGAAGGATTGCTACAAATTACAGAATAAAGAAAGGATAGCTGCAAGTAAATATTCAGATACTTCAGGTGAAGCAGACCTCGTGGAAAACGTTGTAAGTGATTGAGATCTCTTAGCTATTTTTGACATTGAGTCTAAACCGAAAGATGATTGAATTCTTGATTCAGCATGTGTATTTCATATGTGTCCTAATAATGACTTGTTTGCTACATATGAAACTGTTTCCAAAGGTGTCGAGGTTATGGGAAACAACGCATCTTGTTGGGTTGCTGGAATTGGTACAGTCAGATTGAAGTTTTTGGATGGGACAATAAGAGTACTTGGCCAGGTTCGACATGTTCGAGATTTGAAGAAAAATCACATCTCGTTGTCTATCTTTGATTCAAATGGTTATGAGTTCTTTGGTGGAGGTGGAGTTTTGAAGGTTTGTAAGGGTGCCAGTTTTATTGGAGGGACAGAAAAGGTCTCAGTTATACATCTTGCAGGGTTGTGTAGAATTTAGAAGAGTCAATCAACATAAGTTCAATACCATGGTCGACATTCAATTTGGTATTTAGAAGCTCAAAAAGGGTCGAATTTGAATAATACAGTTCGGTGGAGTTCAGGAGATATGGATAATGCCGCTTTACTACCATCACCTACCGTGTAATTGGGGCGAATTTGAATAATACAGTTCGGTGGAGGTCAGGAGATATGGTTTTTGCCGCGTTACTACCATCACCTTCCGTGCCATTGTATTCCATTGCTAATGACGGACACAATGGAAAAGGGTGTGTGGATGTTGATTTTGTTGAGCATGCATTAAGTGAAGTAAAATGTGTACAATCTAACAAGGGATCTTCTTTAATTGAAGAATTCTAATTGAAATGTATATCAAGAAG